ATATATATATATATATATATATATATATATATATATATATAAACACATTTGTTACACGCCAACTTGTTTCTTCACTGAGGATGCTCGAACACATTGAATCCCTCGTCTTTTCATTGGTGCGACATGAAACGATTAAACGACCGGTCCCTTCACGTCTCGTATTCTTCCGGTCTAACGGTAGACTGGTCTTATATTATGTGGGAGATAGGAATGATTTTGTACATTTTGCGCGGCGAGTGGAAATAGCGATAGTCAAATTAACAAATCCGCGTTATTAAATATCTCATAGATACTATACATTCGATAAATCAGAATTCTTATCTCTAACAATTTTTAATGTAAAATATGTAAGAAGTAAATTACTTCTTGATTATCGCACTATTAATTATTATGCAACAATTTATCCAACAATGATAGAAATAATAGAAACTATCTCATAAGTAAGATGACATTTCTCGAGCCACATGGCACGCACGTGCGACCTATGTATGCCATATTTCTCGAATTTCAATATACCTGAGGAGCACTTGTCGCGCAGTTGACTCCATTGAGATTGCCGAGATTCGAAAATAGTGAATTGCAGATGATGGTAGCGATTCTACGATAGTAATAAAGATAATAATACCGGGTGATAATTCTTGACCATTATCTCCCCGTTCGCTTCTGAACGTTTGGCAGCAGGACCAATTGTTGTTGGAACGAAAGCGAAACCAAATAAACGAACGAATGACCGCGAGAACGAATGATCGCGCGTGATTTCATGGCGGCATCTTTAAGATGACCGGTATTCGCGCCTTCAGTTCGCATCTTGTATGCGGTTAGAAGATTCGCGAGATTGGGGAAATGAGGCGCATGCGGGCTCCATGTGCGGTCCTATGAAAGAGAACATGTGTTCTCTACGATAATCACGGTTACCGGTCCAGTCTTTTGTGCGCGCACGTAGACACAGGCGTGAGTTTTATTGTGATCTTTCTCCTTCGGCTCTCGACTCTTGAAACTCTCTCTTCTAAGATCCAGATTTCGGCAATGCTCTGCTGTGAAATATCATCACGCTCTAACATCTTTTTGTCTTTGATTTTAGGTATTCTCGGTGCCTCTCGTCGCGTGAACGATCAGAAAAATGAAGGGTGAGTCCACTTCAACTTTAATTTGCGCTCTATTAAGGAGGTTTTAGCTTTAGTTACTTCTTAATCGACATACAGCTCACTTTTAAATTTTTTAAAAATATTTAGTATAATAATATAATAAATTATATTTAATATAATAATATAAAAATATTTAGCCGTAAATGTCATTCTGCACATTATTATTTTTGTGTTATTAATTTTTTTATAAATAATTAATAACAAAAACTTACAAGATACTCTTTGATAAAAATAATAAAACATGATTGAGGGAGTTGAGTAGTAAATGATGTGTCTTTATATCATATATTAAAAATACATTATATAATATATTAAAAATAAATAATAAATATTTATTGAAAAATTATAGTATTGTACATATTATCGATTTATTATATAACTAAATCCTCCTTAATCGTATAATCTTTGTCTGTATGTGTAGTAAATAGATAGATATTTATTTATTCTCAGCATTCAAAGGGTTTATATTTTTAACAATACAATATAATATAATATAATAATATTATGTATGGAATTTTATTAGCTTAATGAAAAAATTACGACTACTATTTAAACATTATTTGTTGCATTTATTGCACAAAATTTATTTAATGCGATAATATAGATATATAATTTAAAAGATTTTTATTGATTATATTTAAACAACATAAAATAATCTAGGAATCGTAGTTCTAATTTCAATTGCAACTCTCCTACATGAAGTCGAGACTTTTCTTAATTAGATTATTGATCTATTATAGAATAAAGATATTAGAAAGACTAAAGTAAAAATTTGAAGTAGAAAGAGAACGATTGAGACAAGTGTTTGCGACGTTGACGTTATTTGCTGTAACCTGCACAAGTCAAAAGTATTGTCACAGCTGCCGCGTTGTCTTTTAGGAGTTTACCCTCTTTCCGATATATATATATGCCGTCCGTGTCGACACTCTTGAAATGTGCTATGATATTTGATCGGCGCTTCAAAGTGAACAGTTTCTCAACGCGATTAGGAATAGCCGCACATCCATTAATTCATAGAAACGCGTTCTGTACGTGTTCTATTTGTCAGTTGCGTGAGAATTGGTCTTACGTTTTTCCACTCGTTACACCACCACCACCGAGAGCTCCATTCATGCTCGCGGTTCATTCATCGCGTCTCACCGAACGCCTTTCTCTCTTTAGACGCGGTCTCGTTTCGATGTTGGTATCGCCATTCTCGTATAGTGGATATATATATGTACGTTACCATACTACATCTACTCAGACTTAAGTCCAAGCTCGGATCCCATCTCAAACACAGGCCCCGAACTTCACGGTCTCTCTGCATTTCCCTCCTTTATCCTCCCCCCTCCCTCCCTCTCTCTCTCTCTCTCTCTCTCTCTCT